GGTGCGTGCCAGCCTCCGTACGGTACCCACTGGAGCGGGGGTGCGTGCCAGCCTCCGTACGGTACCCACTGGCGCGGGGGTGCGCGCCAACCTCCCGGCGCGGGGGTGCGTGCCAACCTCCGTACGGTACCCACTGGCGCGGGGGTGCGTGCCAGCCTCCGTACGGTACCCACTGGCGCGGGGGTGCGTGCCAGCCTCCGTACGGTACCCACTGGCGCGGGGGTGCGTGCCAGCCTCCGTACGGTACCCACTGGCGCGGGGGTGCGTGCCAGCCTCCCGGCGCGGGGGTGCGTGCCAGCCTCCGTACGGTACCCACTGGAGCGGGGGTGCGTGCCAGCCTCCGTACGGTACCCACTGGAGCGGGGGTGCGTGCCAGCCTCCGTAAGGTACCCATTGGCGCGGGAGTGCGTGCCAGCCTCCGTAAGGTACCCACTGGAGCGGGGGTGCGTGCCAGCCTCCCGGCGCGGGGGTGCGTGCCAGCCTCCGTACGGTACCCACTGGAGCGGGGGTGCGTGCCAGCCTCCGTAAGGGGAGTGCGTGCCAGCCTCCGTACGGCCACCCACCGGCGCGGGGTGCGTGCCAGCCTCCGTGCGGCGCTGTCACGCGCAATCCCGGGCACGGCCGACAGAGGGGGCTGCTGCCGAGACCGTTCCATGCCGAGACGCCTATCTCGTGGGAGCGCCTCCATTTGCTGACGGCGAGGTTGACATGTGCTTGACGCTCCCCACTCAGGAGCACGCATGGCGTATTGTGTCGACAATTCACTGGCGATGGTGAGCCAGCCGCCTCGGCAACGAGGCAAGCGCGGTCGGCGGTCCGGCCAACCGAACGGACCTCCAAATCATGACAATCGCAGCGATTACCACAACTGCACGGGCCATCTTTAACGTTCGTTCTTGTAAACCGCTAACTATCATGGTGTAATCTTACGATTGCGCATGTTCTGCAAGGCTATAAAGAGCAGCAATGGAATCGCTACCTTCCGAAATAGTGCAGCGAAATAGTCCGAAATAGTGCACATGCTACAGCCAGGCTATCGCCCCCAGAGTGATTATATCACTCCCACCAGCATCAGCGCGTGACATTGTCCTTCTCCATAAGCACAGAGGCGGCAGGAGAAAGCGACTAACTGATCCGGCAGCCGATATCGCAGCCGATAACGCTCCCAGCCGTGTCTCGCCGTCGCGCTGTTCAGAATCCGCCGCCTGATGTAGGTCATTATCATTAGTGTACGCGGCACCGGCTGTCCGGCGGGCATGACGGCAGGGGCACCCCCGGTGGCCGACAGGAGCGGCAGGACCCCCGGTGGCCGACTGCGTTACAGAGGAGCGGCAGGACCCCCGGTGACCGACTGCGTAACAGAGGAGCGGCAGGACCCCCGGTGGCCGACTGCGTTACAGAGGGGCGACAGGACCCCCGGTGGCTAACTGCGTTACAGAGGAGCGGCAGGACCCCCGGTGGCCAACTGCGTTACAGAGGGGCGACAGGACCCCCGGTGGCTAACTGCGTTACAGAGGGGCGACAGGACCCCCAATCCCCCCCCCGCGGTGGCCGACTGCGTTACAGAGGGGCGACAGGACCCCCGGTGGCCCACTGCTTTACAGAGGGGCGACAGGACCCCGGTGGCCGACTGCGTTACAGAGGGGCGACAGGACCCCCGGTGGCCGACTGCGTCACATAGGGGCAGCCGGGATGGTGCACGGAGGAGGTCATTCATGTGACCATTGACGTCTTCTTTAGGTGGAGTCAAATAACAACGCCACGTTCAAACCAAGCCAGACTGGCAGCCGTGAGGATTGACCGTGGGCTGACCGTGGCACGAAGCTGGCAGGGCGGCGTCGCTGGCTGCTGGCTGGCTCGCCAATGAGCTAGGGGAGCGTGGCTTCAGTTCGCGTATTTCCAAACCACGAGGTGTGATGCGTTAAACCTGGTGAGGCGCCGGGCATCCGGATGCCCCTTCCGATAATCCATCACCACTGTAAGGCGGGTGGCATGAAGCAGCTGAGAGCCCCAATGGCGGCGACGACAAAGTCGGGGGATAGAGAGATAACAAGGGGCGAGTTAAGTGCTGGATATGCATGCGCTGGGGGGGGGGGGGAGGGTCAGACGGAGACTTGCTGGAGGAGCTGACACTCCAGACGGCCTGTGGGCCGCCCACGCCGCCGCGCGGGGCGGCCGGACCGACCTGGCGGGGGACGACCGAGCTTAGGCAGCGGCGGTACTGCCAGTAGTGCACCGGCGCGCCGTTCACCTCCATCAGTCACCGGCGGCGGCGTCACCGGCGGACACCGACAGCCGCTAATGTTCACTAACGGCCAGCGATACACCTCGCCGACACTCGGCACCAGTTTGACGCGACACAAGTCCTGTCGTGTCACCACTGCGTCGGCACCACGCCTGCACCAGCGCCACGACCGCGGCGGCACCAGCGGCACCAGTCTGTCACCAGCCGCGCGGCGGCGGGACGGCGGAGCTCCCAGGCAGCCGGACCTGACTCCGTCGCCGTCGAGCCGCCACTGGCCGGGCCACTTTCGGCGCTGGGCCCGGGTCAGTTTCTCCGCCGCCTCCGGCTCCAGCCGGTCGCCCCGGCGGCGGGCAGCGCTCAACGGCGCCAGTGCCCCACACCGGCCCCGGCGATCGCAGGACCGCTGCAGGTCTCCCCGACCGCGGCCGGCTGGCTGCTAGACGGGTACAAACAGGAGCCATTTTTAAGTCGTTGCGGAGCGTTCTGTAAAGCTGGCTGCTTGCGTGAAAACTAGAGCAGAAAACGGACAAGACCGTTGCGGGAGGGGGAGGGGAGGGGGAGGGGAGGGGGAGGGGAGGGGGAGGGAAGCCGGTAAGTGAAGGCAGAGGGAGACAGCCTTTTGGGTCTGTACCGCTCCATGCAGCCACGCGGGGGCGACAGCGTGGACTTCCAGGCGCTGAGATGCTTCCGCCCGCGACAGTGCGCCCCCCCCCCCCCATTGAAAAGCAATTACCAGAGGACACCTTTTCCTCCCTAGCGGGATCCATTCACACGCCCAGCCCTCACACTCTTGTACCTCCGCCTCGCTCTGTCCACGCTCCTCAGCGTAGCGAGACCCCCGACCTTCGCCGAACACGGCCTGAACACCGCCTGGGCCTGCGTCACTCGGCACCGATACCACCACGGCAGCGACGGCGGAACCGTGACGCAGAGTGGGGCCGCCGCCGCTTCCGCCGGCCGCTGACAGCTCTGCTCTGGCCATCCAGGACACGCGCGGCAGGTGACGTCATACGGCGACGCAGCGGGAAGAGCGGCCACACGCGGCAGGTGACGTCATACGGGACGCGGCGGGAAGAGCAGCCACGCGCGGCAGGTGACGTCATACGGGACGCGGCGGGAAGAGCGGCCACACGCGACAGGTGACGTCATACGGGACGCGGCGGGAAGAGCAGCCAGACGCGGTACGTGACGGCAGCCGTCGGCACCCAGCTGACGGCTGCGCAGCTGGCGGATCGCTCGTGGCTCTTACCAGATGCTCATCAGATGCACTTATCAGATGTCGTAAGGACAGAGAGGCCGCGAAGCATAGGTGGAAGGAAGGAAGGTTCTTAGGAGGTTCATAGGAAGCTTAGGTTCTTATCTCTTTGAAAGAGCCATGGACCTCAATGACGTCCCCCGCCAACAAGATCAAGTGTGCCTTGTGCTTAATTATTGGGGATGAGCCCAGGAGGAGTCCAGGGCCCCATCTCTCTTCCCATAGCAGTTTTGTCTGTCCATGCTTGTTACGTAGTTCCGCCACTGAGCGAAATGATTCTGTTTCCAACGTTGACATCTTTAATGAGGATTGAGATTAATGCGTATAAAGTGCAGCGTGATGAAAAATGGTTATAAACTGACTGGTCAATGGTGGAGCGTTTATTTCCTTGAAAGTCATTCTGACCCATGTTCTGAGTGATGACCTTAGTCCAGACTTCGTTAAAAGAAGTGCTCCATAATTGTATGGCGTTTTGAACTGAAATAGCCGTATTGAAGACCTTTCGATGCAGCTCACGGCCATGCCCGTTTCAAGACCTGAAATCCTTCAGTTCCTGAGCCGCAAACACGATCGCAAAGATGTGGGAGAGTAATTGTGGAAGAGCATTTCAGGGTCACCTTGGCATTCAGAACATTATAAGAACGTAATCAAACTATTTCCATTCTATCAGTCATGCGGCAATGAAAGCCAAGAACAAATGGTTGAGTCCTTCATATCTGGCTTTCGTGAGCACGATTTCCGATAACACGGCCGTCAAATGGCTCTCAATCAATGTTTGCAAGGTACGATGACGGACTCAAACAATGACGTATCGAGGAACATATTTACTAAACAAAGAAGCTTTGTTGCATACCACAGTCTTTTCCATTTTATAGCATGCCAATCGTCACAACTAATCTGGTTTCATCATATCTGATGCTTTCTTCAATATCTCCAAATGAGAAATGTTCCCATTCAGAACGGTCCGATTTAGTGCAACTGATAATAGTTGCGTAACGTGGAGAAACATTTTGCTGTGCAAACCAAGGGCGAATAATCGCCACGCGTGGTGAAAACCAGCTCCAATGGGTCTCTTGCGACGGCAGCTGAATCTAGTCCCCGTAACGGCTGAATGCCCTACAGCTCGGCCACTCTGTTTTGCCCGCGCTCAAAATCAATCTCGAACGTGATTTTCCTGTAGCCGAACACGCCGACAATGTTATCAGTTTTGCGACTAAAAGACCTAGCCATTTCTCGAATACATACATGCAACCGGCTGCGCTTTTCAGGGCGTGAAAGCCTTCCCTTCTTTGAGCTACCTTTAAATGCCAGAGTTCCTATGCTTTGCAGTTCCAGTGGGCATCCAAGATTTTAACGTGAGTATAGTAACATACTATCCCTGACATGGCTGCCCTGTGCCTGGCAAGGCTGTCCTATGTCTGACACAACTGACCTGTGCCTGACATACGACACTCACACTCGTGCCAACGAGGAGCCATCAAAACTCGTGTCAACACTCACCCTGCCGAGTCGCCAGGAGCGCTTGAAGGGCGAGTCTACGCCGCCACCACCGGGGGTGTCCAGCGTCTGGATGGACGAGCTCAACTCCTCCATGCACGGGAAGTCCTCTCGCGTGTTGCGTCGCGAGGTGGGCGGCGAGGAGCGCGAGCGCTTGTTGGAGCGCGTGCTGGACGTGGAGCGCGAGCGCGCCCGGTCTGCCACAGAGTGAGAGAGCAAGACACTCAGCGACATGGGTAAAGCCGAGGCATGCTTGCTGCCAGGCGGCGCAGCACCAGTCCTCTGCAGCTGGCCTGCCGCTCCAAAACAACAACTTCTCAACACAACACCGCATCAGCTGAGGCGGCCATGTCCGCGTGCGGCTCCGGCCCCAGCCCCGCGCCGCCGGCGGTCTTACCTTTTGCCCTGGAGAGGGGGCCGCGGGCGGGCGGCGGCGAGCCCGCCAGCCGGCCCCGGCCCTCAGCGTCGCTCGGCTCCTCCTCGTCCAGGCCGCCGGACGTCTCCGAGGCCGTGCGATACTCCTCGTCCGACGACGGTGGCGTCGCCTGGAGCCCGCCAGCCGGCGCCACCGTCGCCGTGTCGCGCTCGGCCGTCGTGTAGCGCGGCTTCCTGAGGTGGGCGGGGGGGGGGGGGGGAAGGGGTCAGCGAGGAGAGCCCCAGTAGTTGGGGTCCATGCAGTACTTCCCTATGGGGAAGGAAATATCCGAATTTCCCTCGAATGGCGAAATTTACAGTTAAGCGTTTTACACCCGTGCAACGTGCAATGGCCTGTGCTCGACCTCTGTCCGCCACTACAATTCCGCAAGGCCTGGCCATGCTTCCAAAGGCGTCTCCCGACAGATGGCAGGTGCGCCGCTAACCATCTCTTCTTCGGGGCTCTCAGCCACTCGGCTCGGCTCGGCTCGGCTCGGCTCGGCTCAGCGACAGCCGAGCGTCGCGTGACCCTGTGTGATCACTGGAGAACTCAGTACGGCCCGGCATGACACCCCTGCTAAAATCCGTGTACACCTTGCGTGACCTTGGGTTCTGGCATCGCGAGAGCGAGGTCAAATGAACACTTTGTAACTCACGTTTGACCTTAATGAAACTGGGAGTGACCTATGCAAGACATTCGCGATTGTATCACCTCTGCTCGATATCCACAGGCCTTCGTCCAACTCGCGCACGCTCCCTTCCCAACGTCCCACTGACCCGGGGCGGGCCCCGCATCGCCTCTCAAACGTCCCGCTCCCACAAGACCTCCATGCGTGACCTTCGGGCGCGAGCTCGGCGCGCGCTTCCCCACCTGGCCGAGTCGGCCAGCTGACGCTCGAGCCGCTCGCCCAGCGAGAGCCGGTGACCGGCGTCGGGCAGATGAGCCGAGCCACGCAGCGCCTGGATCCAGTTGCCGCGGATACCAGACGTCATGGCGGACAGCTGGATCACGCTGCCGTCCCACGTCTGCCGGACAGACGGCACAGGTCACATGGCGGTCATACAACGGTCAAACAAAGGTCACGCGGCATGGGAGACAGGCACACGACAGTCGCACGTGAGTTGTACGGAGGTCATGCTGGGGTGGTGCATGATCAAAGTGATGGTCGTTTACGAACTACAGAAGTCATGCAGCGGTCATACAGGGGTCAAACAGAAGTTACAAACAGATCGAGTGAGGGTTAGCTCCGGAGATCAAGTGAGGGTTAGCCCCCGGGATGCTCGCCCGAGATACAGGCGTCCCACGGGGGTGATTCAGAGATCAAGCAGAGGTCACTTGGAAGAGGAGCAGGTTAAGGTCGAGGCTGGCTACCAAGAAGACGAGGAGACACCTGGGATCGAGACGCGGGCTAACAGCTCCACAAGACGCACATCCCAATCAGAGGCATGTCACGATTGATGTCCAAAAAGCATACAGAAAATCAGGACAAAGTCAGAATCCGCAGGGGCAAGTAGACACTCTTACAATTTTCAGCTCTTTTTTTGTTGTAAACAATTAACTGGCCCGTGACTGGCCCTACCCAGCACGCCCAGTACGCCGCTGACCGTGATCTGGAAGCCGTAGTTCTTGTCCGTGTCGCACTCCTCCACCCGCTGAGCGCGGCTGAGGTCGATGACCCCGTCCATGACGTTGTTGTCTTCGGCGGCCGTGTCCCGGTACAGGGTCAAGGTCGGACCGCGCAGCACGAACCAGTGCTTGATCCACGTCTGGCGGACAGCGCCACACGGTCAAGGTCAAGGTCGAGGTCAAGCGCCAGGGGTCACGGCCGGGCCAACCACACGACATACAACCACACGAGCGATATTTCATCCACAGCTGACGGGGGGTGGCGCGTGGCCAATGTCCAACTCGTGAACGACACAACTAACAAGTCCAACCAAGGCGCCATCATGCGCGGACGAACAAATCAGCTGATCGCTAACTGCTCACGGCAAGATTCTACACGTAAACGCTTGGTGTCGGTTGGAATCTTAAGGTCATCTTCCTGCCGATGCCGCCATCTACAGCAGTTTCGGGTGCCATTCAAAAGTGCTGCTCGCCGAAAGAGCAATGAATGCTCCATTCCTTCCCAGCAGGCGGTCCACAACCGGCTTGGTCTGTTTCATTGCGCACAGAATACCGGTTATGCCAGCGATGGTGCCGACAATGCGGCGAAAGTAGAATGTTCACACAAGCCAATAATTGGCAGCTTTCACTTCCACACGCAAGCAATACGCGTCGATATGTAGCCATTAGTGTGGCGTTCAGCCTCGGCCAACACCAAAGCAAAAATAGAATCAGAGCTGGGCGGTTCGCTGCCAGGGGTAGGGCCCGGATACGCAGCTACGGTGCACACATGAGCGCGTATCGTAACATAACACAAACGACGGCTTTGAAATGGCCTGTGCTCGCCTTATGAATGATCCCCAACCCTGCCCATACCATTTCCCAGGTCTCAAAACCAGCCTCGAACACCTGCGCCTACCTCTTTCTCATTCATCTTCATGAGCCAGCCTTTCTTGATGCGTAGCAGATCTTCCGCAGGAAGGTCTACGCGCAGGTCATTGTGGTTGCTATAGCAACCGTCTGTGGCGTCCAGTCCGCAGCCGTCCGGATCACCGCGCTCCTGAATGACCCAAGGTCAAAGATGAGACCGAGGACGGAGCCAACAAAACAAGCCAATCATCTTTCGGGCGGAAAGGGGCGCCAGATGTGCGCCTCCATTACCATTGCCATCAATATTAACATCACCATTATGAATCCATCACCCGCTGACCAACACGTTTCCCATCAGTGGCATGGTATTAGTTCACAAATGGAAGACAATTAAAAATCGAACCATTTTCCAAATAAGCGACGGATAAATTTGGCCAGACACAAACAACACAAACGAATACAATTTTTATTGCGTTTTGAGGCACAGATATCTTAGCGGCGTCGACTGGTACTTTCATCAAACAAAGCACGCACCAAAACCAACAACACCGCACACGTGCTGAAGACATACAGACATGAAACAAAATCTCCGGGCACCACAGGGACGATTCCAGCAGCGAATTTGGAAGGGGCCGGAGCCCTTCGGGGAGACAGTTACCAATTTGGTACCTGCTGCACTCGGTACCAGCAGCATTTTGCACATTAGTGCAAAAGAACGTGCTTTCCACCATGTGTGGGAGCCCTCATGACTCCGTTACTCCCCCCTCCTCCCGGGTCACCGACGTCCCAAGCCCCGATGCCGGCGATGTGCGGCGGCTGCTCACGTGGTGTTTGGCATCGATGGCCGGGTCGTCGGCGTCGACGGGCGAGCGACGCGTCGACAACGCGTCCTCGTTCTCGCGCGTCGGCTTCTCATCGGTTGACTGCAGCTGCGGGAGACAAGATCGAGTCAGATGAGGATGAATCAGGTGAGGCCGGGTCAGGTCAATTCAGGACAGGTCAGATCAGATAAGGGCAGGACAGGACAGGACAGGACAGGACAGGACAGGACAGGACAGGACAGGACAGGACAGAACAGGACAGGACAGGACAGGACAGGACAGGACAGGACAGGACAGGACAGGACAGGACAGGACAGAACAGAACAGAACAGAACAGGTCGGATAAGGACAGGACAAGACAGGTTAGAACAGGTCAGATCAGATCAGATCAGGGCAGGATAGGACAGGGCAGATCAGAAAAGTGCAGGACAGGACAGGACAGGACAGGACAGAACAGGACAGGACAGAACAGGACAGGACAGGACATGACAGTACAGGTCAGGTCAGGTCAGGTCAGGTCAGGTCAGGTCAGGTCAGATCAGATCAGGACCGACAGCCACGCCTCTCGGGCAGTGTGGGCGGCCGGGGACTCTCAGCAACAGGCGGCGGTCGACTCCCAACCTGCCCGTACAAAGAGACCCATACGTGTCTGGCTCCCCGTGTACCCGCTCCCCGGCGGTAGGTACCGCAACTCCTCTCTGTAACCGCCACCTTGGGTGTGGCCGCTGGGGGAAGCTGCCTCCCTCCTGAATTTTCCCAAATTACTTTTGTCCCCCTGTCCTGTACGCATGCCACGGAAAAGATCAGGTAGGGCTGTCCCCCGGATTGCAGTTTCACCACTCAATCCCGGCTCCCCTCCCCCCCCCCCCCCCCCCCCCCACCCCCTCCAATCTCAAATACGGGGTGTCGCCCATGTCTGTTGCTAACAGCCGCGGGCTTCGTGCGCCGCGGCCGTACGCAGGATAGCGCAGGAAGCTGGACAAGAAGAGCGCAGGAAGCTGGACAAGAAGAGCGCAGGAAGCTGGACAAGAAGAGCGCGAGAAGCTGGACAAGGAGAGCGCAGGAACATGGAAAAGGAGAGCGCAGGAAGCTGGACAAGGAGAGCGTAGGAGGCTGGACAAGGAGAGCGCGGGCAGCTGGACAAGGAGAGCGCAGGAAGCTAGACAAGGAGATCACAGGAAGCTGGACAGGGAGAGCGCAGGAAGCTGGACAAGAAGAGCGCAGGACGCTGGACAAGCGGCCGGTCGGCGATGCCAAGCTCACGGAGCACGCACGCCCCGTTGTCGGCAGGAAACGCCGCCCAGTGGTGCATTACAGGCGCCGCGTGCGCTATGGGGGCATTTTCGTCGCACACGTGTCGCGTGGCTGGCAGCCGTGCTGCACACTGCGATGACCTCCCTGGCCGCCGATGTCGTGTTACAAGTCGATTCCCGCGTCGCGCTGGGGCTGTCTGGGAATTAGACTGGGAATCTCTCATTGATGTCTGCTTGGGTCTAGTGAAATGAGCGCAATGCCGTGCAAGGATTGTAAATATGATATGCAGATGTTCATGTATGAGCTCCATGGCCTATTCGCCAACGTCAACGACCCAGATGCTCAGAACTCTTAAAATCCGGGCCTAATTATTTACGTCACCACCCAGTACCAGCCACCGCGCTGCCACCCAGTCATACATCGCTTTTAAACTAATCTACATTGATTTCTTATCAAAAATAGCAATTTCTCCGACAATAACTGCTTCAGTTACCCGTACTAAAATCGGTTTCTAGCAAGACGACAAAAGAACAATTTGATGGCCACAGAAAAGGTGATCACCTGTATAGCTAGACCCATGACCAACCAATGAGCTCAAACTTCAACAAAAAATGGTCCGAATTTGGGCACCCGTGGATGTAGATGCGATGTACCCTGAAACGCTCCCATGAGTTGGGTCACACGCACATCACCCATGTTGTCACATCTCGTCCTCAGCAGGGACCATTCTCGCCAGCATATCTAGCCCCGGGTCACGTCCCCAGTGCGGCGGTCCTGACCCGCCGCCTCCATCGCCGACAAGAAGCTCATCTGGGTCTTTGTTCGGCTAAGAGACGGACCGCCGCCCCGCCCGGTCGCGCGGCTCCAGTCAACCGGCCGGCAGCCGTGCGACGCTGCAGCCCCAGCAGTTTGACAGAGGCGCCAAGCCGGAAATTCAGCACGCGATGTGGTGTCGCGCACGCCTTTCGATGGCATCCAAATCGGGTTGAAGGGATTCGGCCCACGTAATTCGTCGGACTTTCTACAGCAAGAGGGCCGTCGCGATGCCGGAAAAGGACATTCAACCACAACCAACGCAGAGTGACGGCAAAATTGTCAGTTTGTAGGATTGGTTTGCTTCAGCGCACGCTTGGCTACAAATACCGTGTCGTAACGCTGACACGTCGCAGGTAGGCACCGACTAACATCGGGCACATGTTGAGCTAAAACAATTTCAAAAATACTATGGCGTGAAAAGAAAACAACTTCCATGCATCCAAATGTTTCATGGATCAGTAAACGATACAAGACTTCAGCGAAGGCCTAAAAAAAGAACGCCACATGGGCAGTCGCAATCCTGCCAACACAGCAATGGTACCCGCTAATTGACACGTGATCACAGTTGTCTGCACTACCTCGCGAATGCCCGGCTCCTGTCCGCATCCCCGCTGACGGGCCAACACGACGGCCAACAACAACGGCCAACAACGACCTACACAGCGGCCAACAACAACGACCAACACAACGACCAACACAATAACCAACACAACGGCCCACATAACAACCAACACGACGGCCAACACGACGGTCGACAGGCTACAGCAAGACGCCCCGTAACATCAAGTTGATCCAACCTCTCAAGCGAACCTCCTGACACAGCATACCAACGGCCTGAGAACGGCAGACACAGCATACCAACAGCCCGAGAACAGCAGGCATGGCATATCAACGGCCCGAGAACGGCGTACACAGCATACCAACGGCCCGAGAACAGCAGGCATAGCATACCAACGGCTCGAGAAAGGCATACACAGCACACCAACGGCTCGAGAACGGCAGGCATAACATATCAACGGCCCGAGATCGGCAGACACAGCATACCAACGGCCCGAAAATGGCATACACAGTATACCAACGGCCCAAGAACGACAGACACAGCACACCAACGGCCCGAGAATGGCATACACAACATACCAATAGCCAGCGAACGGCATACACAGCATACTGATAGCCCGAGAACGACAGACACAGCATACCGACGGCCCGAGAACGGCAGACACAGCATACAAACGGCCCGAGAACGGCAGACACAGCATACCAACGGCCCGAGAACGACATACACAGCATGCCAACGGCCCGAGAACGACATACACAGCATACCAACGGCCCGAGAACGACATACACAGCATACCAACGGCCCGAGAACGACATACACAGCATACCAATGGCCCGCGAACGGCGGACACAGCATGCCTGGCGGCCCAGTGGACCAGCTCTAGCAGCAAGTCAGGCATGTCGCCAGGCACTTACCCGCCGCACCAGCCGAACACAGGTGGGGATGACCAAGGGGCCATAGCTAAACGTCACGGCGGCTGACATCGGCCACAGGTCGGCAGACTCCGGGACACGGGCTCGGGGTCAGCGGGGTCCCCGCTTCGGCGGCTCGGGACGGCCCGGCGCCCACAATGGCGGCGACGTGACCGAGAAGCGGACACGCAACGGCCCGGACGCTGCACGAAGCAGCCGCCAGTGCCGGGCAGCGAGTCCGGGCACCAGGCGGCTCTGAATGCCACGGAGTCGGGCCGCCCGACACGGTCTGAAACCTGTCCGCTGTCTGCTTCACGGCACGCGCCGCCCACCAGCGGACGCCGCGGTCGGAGCTGCCTCGTGCCTCGACTGGAGCTGTGGCAGCACGCTGCAGCACACCGACTGCCAAGGCTCGGCCCGCCGGAGCTCGTGCAGAGAGCGGGGGGGGGGGGTTACAGGCCGGTGCACCCCTCCCCTCCCCAGTGTCACGACTCGGCAGCGACCGGGTCAGTCGCCCCTCCCTCACCCGCGACCCTGCAGCCGCGGTCACGCGGTAATCGGACAAACGTGCCGGCCGCCAACGCCTCCCGACCACCCGATTAGTGGATGACGTGCGAAGCGGGCTCACGATGCCCTACCGAACAGCTGACCGCCGTTCGGACAGACACCGCCGCGTCGTCTTCTGCTGTCTTCTGCAATCAGCGCCGCCAATCAGCGCGCGCAGCGGGTCACTGCGGCGCCGGACGCCGCGATTGCCGATAGAGGTCGCGCCGGCGCCAAGCGGCGGGCAAGGTGACCCCGCGGTCAGCCGTGTAACGGTGAGGTGGGGCCGGCACGTGCCAAGACCGGGCCCCACAGCCAATAAGGGCAACTGTGCCGCGGCCGCTGTCAGACCGTTGCGCCGTGCTGACCGGTGATGCCGGACTCGATGGCCACGGTACCGGCTGGTGACGCATGTCTGAGAGCCGGTCCCATGCCGGGACACTTCGCCACCACCGCGCCGGCGGTCGGAACCTCCGCTGAACCGGCGGCTACGGCGCGGCGCAAAAGCAGGCAACGAGGGGCTTCGTGGACGCCAGTGCACGTCCCCGGCGCTGAACACAGCGGCAGCCGGTACCAGTGCCGGCACGCGTCACCGCTACCGGCGCTGCGCCAGCACCCGCGGGCTCGGCACCCCAATCGGCGACTCGGTACGGGGCCGGCGGTCACTGCAGGACACGGAACCGGCGGTCACTGCAGGACACGGAACCGGCGGTCACTGCAGGACACGGAACCGGCGGTCACTGCAGGACACGGAGCCGGCGGTCACTGCAGGACACGGAGCCGGCGGTCACTGCAGGACACAGAGCCGGCGGTCACTGCAGGACACAGAGCCGGCGGTCACTGCAGGACACAGAGCCGGCGGTCACTGCAGGACACGGAGCCGGCGGTCACTGCAGGACACAGAACCGGCGGTCACTGCAGGACACGGAGCCGGCGGTCACTGCAGGACACGGTACTGGCGCCGCCGTCACGGCAAGGCACGGCACTCGGGTCGCCGCCGTCTCCAATGTGACCTTTCGCCGAGC